TCAAGTGTGAAGGAAATAAATACTACCTGTTGCTTTATGAAGTGTGCAAAAAGGCAGATTATATCAGTAAAACATTGAAAGGCATTAACTCTTGCTTATTATTTTATTGCTTTAATGGATTTGTTTTTTTTGGGTTTTTTTTTTTTTGGTTTTTGTTTTTTCAGTAGCAATGAAGATTGAACTTTGTAATTTCTGAATTATCATCCAGGATTAATAACTGGTGTTATGTTAGATTAGAAACAAAAATCTACCTCACTCCACACTGATTTGTCATATTAATCTACCTATATATTGATCTTGTGCTTGCAAAATACTGGTTCATTTAGATTATATTTTTTTTAAAGCATTCTGTTACAAATTCTTATAGCACAGTAAGTTATTGATGATGTTTATGTTCAGACTTTGTTAAAAATTTACAATGATAGGTTATTGCAAGTTGCTGATTAGAGGAGACAGTTAAGAAATTCTACAAAGTTATAATTAAAATAGTACAGTTTGATAAAATGAGGAGGGTAAATTGTCAACAGCTTAATGTGGTTTACAAATAATAATCCATAGTGTTCGTTTTTTTTTTAATTAGTTTATAAGAGATGATAATGAAATTGTTTTCCTATATTAAGCTTTCCCTCATAAAAATTAATGGTCATTGCATGTTAGCTTTATACCATTTCAGATCTTAGAGGAAAGCTGTACTCAGTTCATTCTTTTGTCAAAAACAAAGGGGGTGTAAAGTGGACTTTAAAAATCAGTGTGGTACTTCTACATCTTGCTAAACATATTTGCACTGAAAATGTGTTTTCATTTCTTTAATTAGTCAAGTTAATTTTTAGACATTCTGCTAACTTGCATCATTTCAAGCAAGGAAATTTTAAATATTTAACATCACTAAACTGACCCTCATTGGTTAGTGAAACATTTGGTAAATAAAACAGAGTTTGGGGGTGGTATCTATTAACAGAGTAAAAGACAACATTTGTGTATCATCAGTAAATCAGAATAACAAAAATGTATGTGTGTGTGAAAACTTTTTGATTTAGCTATTTGTGCCTAATGTATTAAATGTAATACTTGCTTGATTTATATCATATGTAATATATTGTGCCAGAGACTTGATAGAAAAGGTCAGTAACTGTTTTGTCAGAATATCATATTCAACTATAAATAATTTACAGCCGAAGTTAGATTGTGGTTATCTACAAGAAAAACTATGTTTAAATTATTTTTCTAATTTAGCTGGTTTTTTTTTGTTTTTTTTTGGCCTACACATGAAAAGAGAAAAAAAAGGAGCTGACCATAGTTGGGATCATTGAGTCAATATGAATGATCCTTTCCTTAGCTGCATATTATGTGCTTTGCCAGGGCTAAATAGTTTTGAATTCAGAGTTTTTCCTTCTCATAGACTGGTTGCCACTCAAGGCTATAGAGCCCAGTCTGTCCTGCTATTTACCCCCAGCTAGGAGGGGGAGAAGAGATGGATTCATATCTTTCCCAAGGATATTATTAGCACATACGTGAATGTAATGAACTCAACTGCAAAATAACATAGGGTTGAAACAACTTTTCCACAAGTTGTTCAAGTTGTCTCAGAATTTCAGATGATATTTAATATTGTCAAGCCATACTTAATTTGATCAGCACACATGCACACTGAACAAAAATAAAACACTTCAAATATTTTTATGAGTTAGTTTAGATCTGAATTTAAAAAAATTTATAATCAAACTTTTGTATGAAGGGAAAAATGATCCGTGAAAAAAAAGAAAAGAAAAGTTTTTGATTATGATTAAATATTATTATACTTAATATTTTTGTCAAATAGCTTTTCTGTATATAACATGTTTGTAGTCAGATGTCCTATTCTGTCAGTGAAAATCCTAAGTAGATAAAATATTTTTTTCACATTTTCACATACATACCAATCTATATGTGGAGACGTGTGTGTGTGTGTGAGACTGCTGCAGACGTAAGCAGAAAGACAACCTAAACAGAATCTGTTGACAGATTAGAATAAAAAACAGAACCAAATAAAAGTGACTTCTTTTTTTTTCTTCTTTAAAGAGAACCCATACCACAACCATCACAAAATAGAGTCTGTGCAAAGGTCAGCCAGATAAAGGCTGACCTTTTTGTCTGCAAGTAGAAATTTCCTGAACTTTGCATGCAGATTCTAACCAGTTTCTGCTAACAGCTATGAACAGAGCAGGTGGAATTTATTTTGATTGCAACCAGGACAGAGGAAGGGAGGAAGGCAATGATTTTATGGTTGTTTTTAATCACAAGGGTAAGCCATGAAAATTATTGCTGAAAAAGATTCTATTACAGAATATATAGCAACTTTTTTTATAAATCAAAATATAAGTTTGTTTAACTACCATACACATGGATTGTAAGTAAACATCATTCTACAGTTAAGATTGTAATTATAAAAATAAATTGAAACAGTTACTAGCTTTCCACAACACTCAGTCAGTTATATGCCATGCAGGATACATGCTTAGGCAATCTTTTGATACATGACTGACAAGGCAGATTTTTCCCTGCAGTAGGTTGCCATTTCTTTCTGCAGTAGACCAGTTGCTATCCAAGGCTATAGAATCCAGTCTGTCTTGCTATTTACCCATAGCTGGAGGGAGAAGAAGATTCATACCTTTTCCAAGGGTACTAGCAAGTGAGTGAGTGCAATGGATTCAACTGGAATTTGAACTCGGCTCTGATTCCTCAATCTGAGCCACTATCCATTACTCCACCATTACAACACTAACCTCACTTAAAAGCTTGTTAATGTGCTACCATTAATGTAATTATTATCAGTTTTGTTAAATACCCCAAGTTATGAATTAAATTCCTACAATTTTCAAAAGTGAACATATTATATATATATATATATATATATAAAACAAAAATAATATAAAAAATCAAAAATGTTAAATATTTTACAAATATATCAGAAACAATGTCAATTTTTAATGGAGCATTTTCAAAGATTTTACCTTTTTGTGTGTGTGTATATATATATATATATATATATATATATACACACACACACACACATATATATATATATATATATATATATATATATATAAAATATGAAAATTTAAAGCAATGCTACCATTTAATCATGCAATATTCCTTTAAAGCAAATATGATAAATGTCTGTATTAGATTTTGTATCTGTTGTTAGATTAAGAATATGCTCATTTTTATAAAGATAAAAACCAATGTATAATGTAGGTTTACCACCAATAATACAAAATTATGCAAAATTAACAACTTAAAACCAGGTTTGGATTTCTATTATACTGGCATATCAGTAATTTCCCAGTTTTTACTTTATCCAATGTAATAAGAGTATATTGTTATGAGAACCAATTGCGATTATATCAATTACTGGACAAGTGCATCAGATGTCACCTTTTCATATAGGATGTGTTTATAGGATGAGTTTTAGAAAAAAAAATATAAAGTGGAATGTGTGGAGAAAAGGAGCAATGCTTTGAGATACAACACAAAATACTTTCTCTCTCTCTTTTTCTCCTAATAGAACATTATATATATATATATATATATATATATATATATATATAAAAACCTTAATCAAAGCCAAGGCAAATGCAAATACCAACTGACATAATATTACATACAAAAGTCCCAGTGACATACAAAGAATCGTTAATAAAACTGGTTTACTATTGTTGGTAGATTCAAAATTATCATAAACCTGCTCAATCTCAACACCTTTTTTTTCTCTCTTTTTTTTACAATTGTAAAACAAGACCAATTGTCGATTGGTTGTCCCTGGCTATAAAAATAGTAATTCAATAATAACTAGGTAAGAAAAAACAAAACATGTTGACATGCATACAAGACAATAGATTCAAAAGCAAGACACAGACATTGGTATAAAACAAGCCATTATAAGTTGCATTTGTTAGTAGCACAAACAAAACATCAAAAGAGGCAAAGTAAGATTAATATGATAAAAAATGCAATTATTTTTTTCCAGTATCTCCCAAATTAATAAAGTCAAATTTGAAAGTAAAATTTGCCTAACCAGCAAACAAGCAAACACAAAAAATACATTAAATTGAAGACATTTTAAAATCTATTTTCACTATTTCATCAGAAATGAATAATATTGCATGAAAATGTTAAAGATCCAGATAGAAGATTTATTGCATATCTGAAGTGTACACTCATCTTTTTTACCTTTTAAGAAATTGATTACAAAAGAAATGGTCTAAACTTTAAACTGACAGACATTTTAATCTACTGGTGTAAAAAAAAACAAACAAACAAAAAAAAGCATAGCTTGGTGCTGCATCCTCTTATAGATTCTTTTTCATAATAAAACAACATGGAAAACTGATGTTATGAGAAAGAATATTGCTGAGAGACAATATGAAATATCTCCACAATCGACAGTAAAATTTAAGTAAATAACTGTTATAAGACAATGTATTAATTGAAAGTTTTTCATGTAAATAATAGTCTACTAAATCTTTGAAAAAAATGGTGGTTAAGAATATATCACATCTTAGCCAAGACAATTGACTTTGTTAAAAATCTCATTCTAGCTTAAGCCATTTAGTTTACATTTTTGAATACAATGCACTAACATCTAAGCTTACAAACTGATAATTCCTAATGTTATATGCTTACTACTATAAGGTTTCAGTTACATTGTTGTAGGGGTCTGTATTATTGCACATTATCTACAGTCACATACTATGCAGTAAATAAGTGTACAGTTCAGTCACCTTAAAGGATTCATAAATAGAATTAAACATGATTTTCAAATAAAAATTGCTTTATATGTATAAGGCATTTTAATTTAAATTAGAATATGGACAAAAACAAAATGCATTTAATAGTGAAAATAGTGTAAAACAAAGGATTAGAAAAAAAATCCTTTTTAATAATACTAATAAAAAAAAAAAAAAGAAGGTTACTAAGATTTCTGCAGAGCATTTGCTGTTAAGGTAGATGGGTAGTAGTACCTGCTCATGGGTGAGTCTCTGCTGTTCAGTGAAGGGTGGTTTGGAGGGTAAGTTTCCAGGAGGAATGGCTGTCTGGGGGGACTTGGAACCAGGAGATAGGTGAAAAGCAGAGGGTGGGACGTTGCCTCCAGATCCTGGGGCTGCTCCACCACTATTGGGACCACCACTCATGTTGTTGTTGCCATGCACATCCTTCAGATAATAGGGAGTTGATGGGTTTTTGAGAAGTAACAATATAATGTCAAAAAAGGACATGCAGCATGCAGAAAACAAAATGCCATTAAAAAAAAAAAAAAAAAAAACAAAAAAAAAATAAAAAAAAACAAAACAAGAAAAAAATTAAAAAAAAACATTTAAAAAAAAAAACAAAAAAAAAAACAAAGGAAAGTTAGAGAGCAAACAAATAAAAAGCAGCAGGTTACTATTAAATATAGCTTTACCAGTTTAGTATACTATATTATACTAGTTTAGTGTCCAGGACCATACCAGTCCAGCTAAGGTGAGGGTACATGATCATACAAGTGAATGGCAAGACAATATTTAAGTCTTTAATAGCATTTTTCTGTAAAGATTAAAGACATTTCATTCATAAACCTCATATATACAGATTAAATTCTTTAAAAAATTTCTTTATCTATTTTCCTAAAAAATATTTTAAAAAATAAATCAAGGTCAGCCAGATTAAGATCATACATACACTTTCTTTTAGCATTACTCATACAGATAAAATCTTTCTTTATCAACTTGATTTACTTTATTTTTTTTTAAACTATATGGAATAATTTTAAAACTTGAAAATATTTAGTTATAAATTTTCACAATCAGGTGATTTATCAATAATACTGTTTTTAATAAGAGATATAAACTTAAAATTTTTCAATTAAATATTTTCAGAAAAGCAATAGGGAAATTAGTAATTTATATTTTCTTTAAATTTATAAGAAATTTAGCAAAAATATAAATTGTCATTTATGAACAATTATTTTCTACAATTGAATTGCTACCTTATTTTTTTTAATATATTTTATACAACGTTATTTTATGTTATATTTTTTACATAATGTTTATTTGTTAAATATTTACTATGCATGTCTAATCTCATTAAAATGTTAGTGATATGCATTAGGAACAGACTGCTCAAAGCATAATAAAGCATTTAATTCTAGTATTTAAATTATTTTCTTGATCTTTAAATGGAATGGCTGTTAGATTGCATTGCAGAATTGATAACATACAACAGGACATTTCCAAATTGCTTTGTTTTTTTAAGATACTTTATCTAGTTTCAAGTTTGATTTTATTTACATAATACAGAAATAACTTCATTGTACTGAAGTAGTAACAGGAGGCCTAGAAGGCTATAAATGCACTAACTAAAAAAGATGTTCTAAACATTATATAGACCAATACCTTTTAGAAAGTCATAATAAATCTATACATTTATAGCATGTTTTCTAGTGCACAGATATCAAAATATAAACAAATTCCCAATAAAGTAATGACCAAGAAAATTTAAATATACAATATAAATGCTCAAAATTAATGCTCTTTCTTTGATAAAGTCTTTTAATCTTTGTCAATCCCTAAATTTAAAAGCAATGAAATTTTGCAAATATGACACCTAAAGAAAAAAAAAAAGATATCTAAAACTTAAGCACTGCTCAATAAACAAGTTTTTTTATTTATTTTATTTTTAAAGACTTAAACCTGAACCAAAAATCAACTAAAATTTGATAAAACTTTAGAAAGTTGGTGTGATGTTTTCTTACTTTCTTTTGGTTGGTTAAGAAAAAGTTAATGTCACATTTAAACAGTTTCTTTCATTTGACTACCAATTTTATAGGATTACAGAATTATATTTGATCAACATTATTCTGCAAATATAACTTTCAACTTACTGTTCAAATATATAGTTTTTTTTTTTGGGGGGGGGTATTTAGTTTGTTTTTTTTTTTGTTTTTTTTAAATAATATTATGTAGCATAAAAGATTTTTCTTGTCAAATGACATTAGGGAATTTTTAATTTCATTAAAAAAGATTACTCTTGATAGTATAGTGCATATATTTGGGGAGCAGGTAAGTTTTTGCCAGTATGAGCAAAATGGTTTCCAGCAATTTTTTTCGGGGGGGGTTAATTAATACTTTTGTGTATTTCAGTCCCATTTTACAAAAGATAAGCATGGGACATTTACTCACACTTAATTTATATGATATTAAAAAGATAAAGAGAATGATATTTTAAAAAGCTTTCAGTTACAAAACGTTACTGAGACAGTGAAATTGTTATTTATGAGTAACTCTCATACTGCAAATGTTGGGAATGGAGTATCTCAGGTGAGAAAGAGAAGATTTGTGGAATACTTGAAGCTGACAAAAAATTACTTCTCTTGTTTGTATATCATATGTGACAGTTTTCTTAGCTTTTTCTTGCAAAAACAAATATTTCCAGCCAACCCCAGAAAAATACATTCCATCAATTTTTAGAAAGTTGCATTAGCTTAGGTAGACATAAGGCAGCAAACATTCTGCAAAAATTGAGAGTGAGGAGATACAAGAACATTTTTGTCCTTATTCATATTTATGGGAACAAATATTTTTAAATCACGGAACTCTTTAAAAATAATAATTTAACATTTGATTTTATGCATAACTGTGTTAATAAAAGAAAAACATCTTTATCAATTCTAATGTTTTGGTAATATAAGTTAACCAAGTACGTGTATTTTTAACACAGGGTTGGCAATTATAATAGATTTTTATATCATTGACATCTTTGTTTGATTGTGAAATATTTGTCTTATTTGGATTATTAAACACCAAACATAAATACATTCACAAAAACTTGTAATATTCAGATGCACAGAAAACAACCCTTAAATTATTATAGTCATCATTTAGGAGAAATAAAATTGCTATTTATTAAATTTTGTGTATTTTTGAAGTTTTAAATTTTGATTTTGGGCATATACTTTAAACTACAACAGCTAATGTAAAACAAAAGAACAAAAAACAAAAAAAATCAATTTATGTATTTAAAAATGGATTCATTCAACATAGATATTCTATATTCATGCCTATGCTGTTTTACTAACTGATATATAAAGAACTTTTCTATTTTGCAATAATTTTATACTGCTATAAAAAACCCACAAAAATGCAAAATTCAAAAAAAAAAAAAAAAAAAAAAAAATTAAAACTTGCAAAGTAAAATAAATGACTAAACAAGCAAATAAATAGAAAAAAAGAAACAAAAATAAGTGATGTTCACATTTCCACACATGCATTTGACAAACAATTGCAGTCACAATATTAACTATTTTCAGCTAATGCTCAAATGAAAAGCATATCAAGCAGGAAATTTAATATTTGCATTCTCATTATCAGATGAGGTTTTGCTTTTTAAAAGATGCTTGGTGCTTGGTTGAAAGATCTAAGAAGTCAAGAAAATTGACAATAGTGTAATACTACTTGCATACCCCATTAAATGGACTGGATACTCTCCCTTTTGGTAAAGTACAAGGTCTTCCAACTTCCCTAAAATCTTCTTTTCTATCATATCTTATCTGCAATCAAGATTACAAAATTTATGAGTTGTCTCCATCATTTTGGTTGAAATAAAAGTTAATAATCTGGACAATTTCCACAATAAGTGGTACAGAATATAGTTACTGTTTTATTACCTATAATGATAAATATCAAGACATAAAAGGAAATAAATACAAATCAATCATTGTAAGAATACACCAGACCTTTCCTTCTGACTCCTTTGATTCAGAGCAAATAATAATTTTTGAATGAACATTTGTTGTTTGAAATTCTAACATGAGAGATTGGTATTATTTCATGAATTAAACTAGCATCTTTATTTTTTTTTTTAAATGTTTTAGCTTGACTCCAGTGTACATTGCATCTAGAAAACTCATTTGAAAGTTACTAACAGAATCCTTTATTTTATTGTTAAGAGATAAAAAATAGTTCATCTCCTGCGATAAAATGGGTTTTGTTCAAAACTACTTTAAGATTACTGAATGTGACATATACTCTGAAAAATATTCAGACAGTACCCTCACTAAAACATCAGGATGCTAATCTGAATATAACATGGAATTATCATTGTATTTACTTTGTATAATTTACTCCAAGAACATATAAATCATTTCCTTTTATTCTTTAGAGAGCTACAATGCAAAGCTACCAAAATATAATTATTTAACTGCCAAGGAAACTTAAAGGACCAGTCAGTAATGGTTAGCCTTATCTATTTGCCATCAAGAATTAAATAATAAATCTTAATTCTCTTACAATGGTGGTAACATCCCTGTAGACCATACCACATTACCTGATGATGATTGAAAAATTTTCAGTGGAAACAAGTTTCTGATATTGAAGATAAGAATATAGTATGGTGTAATGGAGTAACGAGTTATATGTAAGCACACAATTAAGCAAATGAAATGAAGATGAGAAAACTGGATGTGTATGTGCTATGTCTATTCAGGTTATGAGCAATCATGGTTCTCCACAACTGTCTTGTTGCATCTCAAATTTTCAAGAAAAATAAAATATATGCCTCTTTTCCAATATTTTAAATGATCAATTGTTAATACCCCTGCTGATTTGAGAGTAAGTGTAGTGTACATTTGCTTTCTGATTTTTATTTCCTCTAACTGCATTCTGGGATTTGGTATTATAGCATTTAATAAAGATTTTCCGATACCGCAATATTTCAAAATTCAGTTCTCCACTCATCATAGTGACATCTTGGTGAATGCTTTCCACAAATTTGTGGGAACTACATAACATTAAATACTCCGAGTAAAACTCAATGATTAATTATTTTTATTTTTAAATGATTTTAGATATTTCAATGCTGATGTGTATTACAGAGATGATCTTAATGAATGAATTGTTGTTGTTCACTCATTTAGGAATGATAATGACATTTCAAATTCTTTGATAAAAATAATTATTTAAAGAAATTAGAATTTGTCTTGAAAAGAAAGTATAGGCTCAAAATAGAAAAGGGAAATGAAACAAAAATTCCATAAGGACTAACAGTAAATAAAGGAAAAAAGTAGAGAATAGCAATTAGAAACTTAATATTCTTGCCTCTCGACTGGATGATGAAACTATATTGGTGAATCCTTTATATCCAGTAAGGTAATGTAAGAAAGTCTAACAAGATGAGAATGCAGATTTTGGTTTTTGCAAAAGCTATCCAATATTTTTTTAGAAATTCTGAAAAACACTGATAGCAAAGACATCTTGATAGTGTTTTTTTTTGTTGTAGTTAAGTCTTTTTTTGTGAAATATCAAATGAAAATAGATAAGCCATACTTTAAACATGACAGGTTAAATTAGCTATAATTCTGTACTGATTTAGTCTTTAAGTGAAGATTGGGTCACCAAATCAAACAAATTAAAAGGAATCCTTGGGAAAAAGAGAAACTATTCATAATTTTTCACGTTTTTTTTTTAACCTATAAATTCAAAAGGTCCTATTAATACAGGTACTTCCAGGATATCACTAAAAAAAAAAAGAAAAAAAAAAAGCATAGCATGATGAAAAAGATGCTAAACTTGACGAAAACAAAAATTTATCGTCTACACATTTATGTTGTTATTAAGAGGAAAGATCAAAGTATTTTTGGGATATTTTTTTTTACATTTTTTTTTTTTTTTAAAATCGTTTCTAGCGCGTCCAAAATTTGTTAAAAATCTTGTTATTTATGAGTCGGCAAAATTGACAGATAATCAATCATGGCAACCATTTTTTTCCATTTTATAAAAAAAAAAAAAAAAAAAAAAAATCTCATTTTGAAATTCTTTTAAAAATCAATTATCATTTTTTCAAAACTTATTTTAAGAAAATCAGAAATTATGTTTATTTAAAATATTTTGAACTAAGCTTAACTTAGCTTCTGCACCAAAAAGATGTAATTTGAAAATAAAACAAAGCAGGTCATAAACTTTCGCGTCACTTGACAGGTGATGAATGACATTGACGGATTACGTAAGGATAATTCCTTCTATGGAAGGAGAGAAGAGAAGTTATTTACATTTAAGTGAACAAATTATTTACCTCGTTATTTTTAAGGAAAACTTTCAGCACTCTAATTTTTTTTTTTGTACTTGGCTTTCACCTTTACATTTACGATGTTTTATGGAAAATATATTATAAAGAAATTAAAATAAGACTGTTAAGAGTTAGATTAAATTTCATAAGAAAGGTACCTATAAGTTAAATTAATTTATAGGTACCTTTCTTATGAAATTTTATCAGAAGTGTACATAAAATACTATAATTTTATGTACATTTACTACATATTACTGTCTTATTTGCATTTCCATTCATTTTATTATTCATTTTGATATTTCATTTATGGAAAAATGTCATAACTGAGATTAATATAAAAAATAAGATCATATAAATTTCATAAGATGATATTGATACTTGTAAGTACCCTTCTCAGTTGAAATTGAAAAATCAAATTAACTTTTCCACAGGTTTCACAAAAATAAAGGCCTTAACAGCGGAGAACAATGCTTAACTCAAATAACGCAACTTAATTGTATTCTGGTTGGTCTTCCGTACTTTATAATTACAGCCCTATTATAAACATAAAATTACATTTCTTAATTAATGCAGGTCTTCTGATTAGTCAAAATGATACAATTTACAACGCGCTAAAAAAAAAAAAAAAAAAAAAAAGATCTATCTCATAAGGACACTTACGAAAGAGGTGGCTTTTAACTAATTGTATAATATTTTAACAACTTAAATGTAAAAATCTATTATAATTAAAGAAATAACAAATAATTGTATTAAAAATTCATTTTCATCGAAAAAATTTTTTGCTTTCAGAAAATATTGTCCATATTAAAAAAAAAAACAAAAAAAAAACTAAAAGCAAATAAAAGCATTTGAAATTAAATAATATCTTTGCTTTATTGAGTTTTGTGTGTTACAATTCAGAGCTGATTTTCAGGTACAGGGGGTGTCCAATTAAAACCAAAAAAAAAAAAAAAAAAAAAAAAAAAAAAAACATGATTTGCATTCCTCAAGCCTTGATTATTGTAATCACTAAAGTGGACTCAATCGAATTTCTAGAGTTTTCATAAAATTAGTTGGGGGTGGGGGTAATATAAAAAAAATTATTTCTGCCATGACTTTAATAAAAAAAAAAAAAAAAAAAAAAAAAAAAAACCAAACAAACATAATAATTTCGATCATCTGTGAATAGTTTCTGGAAGTTTCATTAACATCGAACAATTATTTTTGCAAGATTTTCCAAATTAATGTGTGTCACAAAAAAAAAAAAAAAAAAAAGTGCTAAAAATTGTATATGTTATTTTACTAGTTCCGGTGATACAAAGAGAAAGGCCTTTTTAATCAAAATTTAGAATGTTCTAAAAAGGAGGAAAAATTTTTTAAAAATAATTAAAGTAAACTTTGGTCTTTCCTCTTCATAATAACAAACATTTAGACAATAAAATTTTGTTTTCGGCAAGTTTGGTGTCTTTTTCATCATGCTTTGCTCTTTTTTTAGCGATCCCGTAGAGGTACCTATATTAATATCAAATTTATATTCTATTTAAAAATATTTTTTTCTAGAAATTGGTTATTTCCATCTATGACTGGTAAGTAAACTAACTAAACATAAACCACAAAAACTGATAAAATCATCTCATTCTAGCAAACTGATAAAAAAAAAAAAAAAATAAATTCCTGTTTTAAAATGTCTAAAAGTTAATTTTAGGTTGGTATTAACATGGCACAGACTAAATTTGTATTCCATTCAATGAAATAGATTTTACTAATGAGAAAAATTAAATCTCTATTTTAATGATTATGCAATTTTTTTAATATATTCATTGCTAGAAATGCTAGAAAGAATTCATAGTTATTTTGATATTGGCTTTAACAGAACAAACAAGATAAAAATATCTCTCTATACTTGAACAAAACCATTTATTTTTCTTTTATTATTCAATATCTTTGTTTTATATATTGAAGTGTAATCAATTCTAAATTAACCCATGACAAGAGGGTGATCTGATGTTCTGATTTCAGAGGAATCAACAAGTATATCATTGGATTAAGATTTTGTTACCCTTTCCTAAAAGGAAGAGAGCATTATTATTATTGCCTGTTTTAGTTAATTTGTGGGAATGAACTTTGTTAATCTGGCAATATTATGAAACTATTTCCTGATTTAGTTATGATTTTAACTCTTATTTTTACAATTATCATTCAGCAATATTGAAAATAATTTGAGTTTGAGAGCAGCAATATTTAAATCAATGATCAGCAACTGAACAAGACTTCCAATCATCAGGTAAGAGCTATTCATACAGGATATAATCAATTAATGTCCACCAATTGATAGATTCTGATTATCGGCCTATTTTACTTTATATGAAAAGTTTAAGAGATTTTTAAAAACAATATTTAATTAGTTTAACTTATCACTCATTTATAGTAGCAAAACACACACACAACAACAAAAGGATAGGCAATCAAACATTTAACACTGAAAAAAGCCATAATAAATAAGCCAAAAATTTAACATATAGCAAAAAATATAAAACAAAAAGCAAGAGAAAACAAAAGAAACATTTCCCATGGTTATAAAAGTAAATTAAAATGATTTGAATTTGTTAACACTAACCTTGTCATAATCCATTCTACCTTGATGTTTTGGTAACACTCTGTTTACGTTACCGAGTGGATGTGGGAAATTATTGTGCTTTGGAAGAACAGGAACCATAATTCCTCCATTCATTTGGGACCGATAATCATCTCTACTGTGTCTGTTGTTGGGACCACCACCACCCCCATAAACTGTTGAATAGGGAGGTGGGGCTTCACGAGAACGTTCATCATTATACCTACGATCAGTTTCCAAATATCTTGGACGGTTGTAACTGTCCATATAGTTTTTCTGGCTAACAGGTTCCTGAGGTAAACTTCTATAGTCATTGTCTTTGTAGGGTCCATTTATATGTTGTTGCATGTAGTGTAGTTGAGGGTCAAGACTGTGAGGGTTGCCATGAGCAGATAGGGGACGACTGTAGTAATGACTTGGTTCCTCCTCAGGCACTGATGGGTAATAGCTGTCTGGAGTGTATCGGGTATTTCGTTGAGATGGAGGACTTTCCTTTCTTAATGAATTTGACCGGGCTACAGTAATGTTTTTCCCTTCTGGTCCAAAACCATTGATATTGTTTGAAGAATTTCCTCGCACAATGGTCTACAATGAGATAAGATTAAACAATGTAGAGGAAACAGAAAAATAGGTAGAATTTTAAAAACAAAAAAAAGAAAGGGGAAAAACTGAAAGGCAAAAATAAAGATTTTTTTTTTTAGGACGGTGGATAACATTTAAGTAAATTTTCTATTATACCAATGTCTGAATTAACTAGTAAAATAGCAAATAACTTTCTTTTTAATGAAACTTGCATCCAAAAGAGAAAAGAATAGGGAATCAAAGAGGACTAATTTTATTTAATTACTTGAAAGGTAATTACAATAAACAAAAATAATTATAGGATAAAAATTAACAATCAATCTTCAGAAAATAAACCCATTATTTTACCAAGTCTCATAAACCAATCTATATCAGATGAACTCTGACATCAATACAATGACACAAAGGTCACAATGACACAAAGGTCATTTCAGACAAGAAAAACTTCAAATATTAAGCCAAGTCTAATTCCGTATTCCTTATGATTAGTGGTTAGGATGATACAATCATTATGATTGGTTCTCAAAAATGGATATTACTTATAATTCAACCTAATACATTACTAAACAGTAGAATTTGTATGAATTTAATGCCACAATTTCTTCCTGATAATTCATATTATTTTAATACATTGTCAATTTTAGGAAAACTAAAAGTAAAATAACAATTTCTAAATTGGTTTGCATATTAAGATAGAAACTTTTTTTTTTTTTTTTTTTTTTTAAAATAGAGTAATATTACAGTCTGTTGATGTTTGCTTTAAAGATATTAAATATAAATCAATCACATACCAAAAAAGTTTAGGTTTGAAAAATCTACAGTTAAATAAACCTTTAGGTTTACGTTTTCTTCCCTGCTTAACTCGTTAATCAGACCCTCTCATCAATTGAAGTTGCATAAGAGTTCAGCAGATATCAATTGATGATTTAAACATTTTTTTTTCAATGATATGGACATCATTCATTCAGGATTCGAGTCTCAATGACTAATTGTCAACTCTAGGATTCAGGAGTTTTTATATGCTGGAAATAAGACCGGAAGAACAAGCCAATAATAGTGCTGTGTCTGCGGGCAGACTTATGGGAAAAATGGTGACAACTTGATGCAAAGAATGTACAACTTCATTGATCATGAAAGGTTTCAAGAAGTACTGTTTGAAAAATAACTAAATATAAAAACAAAAAATTTAGGAACCCGACATTTGCTTTATTTCCATTTTTCTTTATTTTTCATAACAAAAACTTAAAATATTTTAGTTATTTTATATAATTGAAACAAAAATATGCATAAAATCTACTCAATAAAAGAAATAAAATTTTCTCTTGCTTTTTTTTGTTTTTTGTTTTTTAAAGGGGTAAACACACTTTTAGCAGCAGATCACTTCAGCAAGAATTTATTTATGGAATTCATGACATCATAGGAAAACTATTTCAATTAGATGCTAGATCGACCATTGAAAATGAAAGCCATTTGAGTAATAATAATCATAAGACAATGAGATTTATTCAAGTTCAGTATTCAAGAGTTTTGCATGAAAACACTCATGGTCAGATGTTTGATAAATGTATTGAATTTCTCATATATTGGAACAAACAAATGCTAATTTTAAAATTCTTATCACGCTAGAGTTTTGTTAGAAACATCACATCACAAGATTTAAACATAGAACCAGTTAATTTAATTTTTTTAATATATTTTTTATACAGGGTGTGATGAGTAAATTGTTGCCATTTTATTTTTTTTTTTTTAATTTTGCACATGTGTGTTTTTTTTTTTTTTAAATTTATCAACTCCACAGTATAGTAGAGTCAGTTGGCACCATTTGTGAGAAAAAGAACACCATGATAAAATTCACTCCACCAGAAATTTGGAAACGGCATGCTGTACTGCTTGGCATTTGCACCAGAAGTGCCAATGTGAACATTTCAGTGTTCTTGAGTGTCAATCTGAAGACAGTGCAGAGGATTCGGAAAGAGTTGGAGGAGTCTAATGGTGATTACGAAAGTACAACAGCTTGGAAACCCACTGATCGTTCTGATAAGAAAAGAACTCCTGAATTTGTTGGTGAGGGCCTCAGATTCAACATGGAGGCCTACATCAAGTGCCTGAGAAAGTAGTGCTATTTAGGGTCAATAGATTTATTAAAACAGCTGGCCCTGATGAGCGTTTTGACACAGAACTTTTGATTTAGCTAACCAAATAAGTCACTTGAAGTGTGTGTGTGTGTGTGTGTGTGTGTGTGTGTGTGTTTGAGAATGTAGGAATATCTACAGCCTGGCATGCTATAAGACTACAGGGAGTGAGAGAACCCTAGTCTTCATTATCACAAGCCCTACAAAAACTGAATCGTGATGTTCATAATAGTCTTGATCAGAAATTGTTCACTATACATCATGCAGCTTTTCTATTTGTGAGTGTGGAAAAGAATATGTCTCAGTAGACTAAAATACTATATAAAAGTTCACCAAAATATTACTGCAACACCTACTGCACAAGGCAACCAACATTGCCACATCTGTGCAACAGAATGCAAATCCCTAGCAGGACTAAAAAGCCATATCCATGTTGTTTATATTTAAGGATCAATTGAACAATGGTAATACTTGAAAGAGTCACAGCCATCACATTTTCTAGTAATCATGTTACAAGCAGGATTGATTTAAAACCACTAAGCATCTTAACAAGTCTCCCAAGATATCTGTGTATTGTGGTCAGTCTACTTAGATACTTTGATAATCCATATAGGTATAAATGCCAACAGAGAGAATTATTAAACAAATGAGATACTGGAGATAAAATCTCAAGAGAGCAGTTAGCAAACAGTTCATGTCCACCATAAAATCCAGTATAAATTATAAAAAATTATAATGAAAATCTGGGATTAACTATGGATTTATAAAAAGAATCCAGTATTAGTTATAGGCTTCTACTAATAACCCATTAATATACACTGTTCCAATTTTGGGGACAGTAAGCATTAATGGCTTAACAATAGTTAAAAATGTCTTACTGATATGGCATGATTAGGACAGGTTTTAAAATCTTTATTAGATCAATTCTAGTCGATAAATCCAATGCAGATTGTGTTAAAAATTAAATCATAATGAGCATGCTTGAACAAATGCAATGTTGAGATTTACTTTAAGAAAATGAATGGCAAGAAGTTGAATTTGAACCAGTTGCATAAAAAAAAAAAAATTAAGTGACATCAAGTCAAAATGCAGATTAAACATGAATATCATGATTCTTGTAATGATTGGTTCCTGTGTCAAGAGAATCTGGTAGCAACAAATTGCAATGGCATACTTGCTGTTGTATTTGGCAATAAAGTAACCTATTCCTGACTGGTTGTCAGTTAAAATGCTACAAATTTATAAAGGAAGGAATGAAGGTGGATATTAAAATCAGATTAAAATTCTGATTTGCTTTCAATGATCAATCAAAAGTATCCTAATACTCACAGGCTAGAGAGAATAATCCATTTTTGTATTATAACAGTGTGGATATTGAGCAGATATAAGTTCAGCTAAATAGCTATGTGAATGAATAAGAAAGTATCCACAAACACAAACAAAAAGATTTGATACTTTTCATAGTGTATGGAATATAAACAATACATAAGCAAATCAGAAGGAGGGTGGCAGAATTCCTAATTAAACCAATCTATTGATGCATTGATCTTATAAACTGACACGTGTTCATATATACATATACATAGTCAAATCAATTTAAGAAAAACTTTTAGATGCCAAGTCTTTCAAATCCTTACTATATTGATTATATTGAAGATTCATTCTCAGTTTGACAAACAAGAAACAAATGTATTACTGATTGAAATTAAAACTTACTTTTCTTTAAGTGGTAACTTAAAATTTATTGCAATGAACACAAAACTAAAGGAAATTAATATAATTATTTTTTTTCATCATTTCACCCTAAGCATGGCAATAAAGTCACTAAGATGCAAGGGGGTTACTGAGTGTGAAAGAATATGAGAAAAAGAAAACATTCAAGAGAAAGAACATTAAAAGAACAGGAATTAAGAACACATGAAATAACAATAGATATTGATTTTCAAAAATTTAAATGCAAAGTTGACAAGAAAGCAATAAACTAGAAGAAAGTTCCACAAGCATAAAGTACGAGAGAAGCAAATGTTAGCATAGAAATTACAGTTACATCTATAATTTTGACTGTAAAATGTTGAGACCTTGCTTCTAATCTAGTACTGTGCTTAAATCTGAAAGGTTCAGTTACCAAAGAAGAAAACTCATCAGAACAATTGCCATGAAATTATTTATAGAAAAAGGTACAGGAAAGCTACGTTATGGTGGGAGGAAAGTGACTGAAACTGAGATGCCTAGTGAAGATTGATAACATTGCGGATATTCTTTGGATTTTATAGAGAATCTCTAAATACATAGGAGCACTAGACTAGTTGTGACAGTACTAATCAATGCATAGATGAATGGTAAACTTATAAATATTTAAGAGAAAAATTATCTAGCACAACACAAAAAAACAATTTTCTAAGCAGTAGACATAGCAATACATTCACTATAATATTTCAACTACATGTCAGTGGAAAATGTTAGCCCTGGAAATTGCAAGGAGTCATTCTCCTGGAAATTAGCATCAGCCATGATGATAGAAGGCAAAAAAGAGCCTACAAGACTATTAAAAGAGAGCACTTTCGTTTTGGAGGCATTAAAATTAACAAGCCATTTCTTGCTCCAGTTAACAAGTTGTAGGTCATTTTTGAGATCTGCTGCCAGTTTTATCTTATTGAACTGATCAGACTTACCTTTAAGACAAGAGTAAATAGTTTTGTCATCAGTATAGATACCATGTTGAGAACTGATGACATCAGGAAGGTTGTTGATAAAAATTAGGAACAATGTATGTTCAAGGATAGAGCCCTGGGGGACACCCACATTAATGAAAAAGGATCTAGAAGAGTGGCCATTCAAGCCAACTTTCATAGATATTGATGACTATATAGATTAAAGCTAACTTGAATTAGTTTTTAGCAGTATAGAAAGGATATAATAGGTTTTTGTGTATATCATTTGGATCTCTTTCTGATATTTGAAACTATTTCTTTAGGTTTAATTATTTACTAAATTGAAATTAAAATACAATGACTGGATAAACCAAAATCAATTGATATTTTTTTTTTTTGAAAAGTAATAATTTAATGTGATAATTATTTAAGATATATTCAGGAATTTTGAGAAAATTAGAGATAGTTACCTTGTAGATACCCACATCTGTGGGCGTAATGTGTGCTGGATCTACTATTGGGCGACGACGTTCACTTGGTCCAATGATGCCTTGCCATTGTGGTGGTAAACCTACATATGTGCCCTGCTCACGATCAAAGCCCGTATGAACACGATGCTCAAAGTTCTGGGGCTTTGAGATTTCTGGTTTCTTGGTTTTTTTCCTAAACATCTGGCTCATACTAGAAAAAGAAAAAAAGAGGAAAGTATATAGTTAGTTGATTCTATTAGAAGAAAAGCTCCAGCATATATCAAATTGACTTAAGTATTTAAACATCTATAAAAATATGCAATTCTCCTTAATCATAGATTAGGGAGAAGGTCATCCTGAATTAGAAAATTACCAGCTTACCTGAAATAATGCCCCACCCCACACACACTCATAAGTTTAAAGTGTGAAAGCAGCAACTTTTGATATTTAAAATTTAGATAATTTAAAATTTAAGTTTCTCATAAAAACGTATCTTTTGAAATGTCAAAAGTGATCTAAGTCTTATTGGAAATTCTTGAATTTTTATCAATATGTGAATCAATAAGGCATTGAAATTAAAAATAGAAATTTACAGATAATTATACTAAGTAATATACAATGTAAGATGGCTTTTTGTCTTGTGCCAAGTGTAAAGAAATTACGTCCTGTGAATTGTGTGTTTATAATTTGTGAGATTTAAGTATTTTTATCTGAGCTACAAGCATGACTATCTAAATTGAAAAGAAACCATAAATAATTATTCAGGAAAAAAAAAAAGAAAAAAGGGAGAATGTATTTTAAACTGTATTACAGTAATTTAAACATTTCTTGAAATTTTAATTTTAGTTTGAATTGCACAAAATTGGTAAAAATTAGTGTCTACTAGAAGTCAATCAGAGACTAACAAACATATCCTTAAAAAAAAAAAAAAAAAAAAAAAAAAAAGGTCCAAAAGGGCATTTTTTTTCTTTCTCAATACTGCTATTCCTATTGTTAATTTTGAGTGTTTTGGAAAGCTATTTTTAGAATTTTAATAAAACCCAATCATATGAAAGTGGATTTATATATTTTCTTATTATTGAAAATTGACAATAATAAAAACATGTTTAACGCTATGACGCAAACTGTCACAGATACTAATCAAGAACAAGGATCACTTCGCACCTAAGATGTATAGGCAGTTGTCGCAGCATTACACCAAGCTATCTCACATATATTGTCTCTCTAAAATTCACAAAGATGGTATTCCGCTCAGGCTGATTGTTAGTTGCCAAGTCTCTGTGTGTCACCCTCTGAGTCGCTTCCTTGTAGACATAATTGACCCATTACAACACCGAGCAAAAGTCATAAGTGGCGACCCAGAGACATAAGATAAAGAATTTGTCAGTATAAGTAGTACCCTACAACGTAACAACTAACCTGGGTACATGGCAGCAGCCCCTAAACCTGGGATAGGCAGGTACAAAAGGAGGATAACAATATTCAGAAAACAGTCTGCCTGCCTTATGTGAAGGGGTTATCAGAGAAAATACAAAGGATCTGCAGTCCATATAACATCAGGACAACCTTCAAAAGCTGGATGACACTTCACAGATATCTCTCACAAGTAACCCCCCCCCATAGAGGAGAACATGACTAAGACTGTGTGTACACTATCCCGTGCAGCTGCAGAAAGAAATATAAAGGGGAGACAAGCCGCACCCTTAAGGTAAGGTTTCAAGTACACCAGATAGCTGTAACATGAAGGGGGGGTGGAAAAATCAGGTGTGGCTGATCACATATGGAGAGAAAAGGGAGATTACCACCCTCTGTGGGATCAGGTTGAGATCATAGACAGGGAACACCATTGGAAAATTCGTAAACTTAAAGAATCAGCACATATGCTGGGCCACAAAAATCTCCTGAGCCGACCAAGCATAGAAATAAATACAATATGGGAACCAGTAATAAGGAGTGCCAGAGAAAAGCAATGATAACAAAGTTGCAATATGAGCTCTGGTAAAAAAACATGCAATGATAACAGCAAAAATTGCAATATAAGTACTGGTAAAAATGGTTGCTGAAGACATTAGGTTTATAATACCCAGAAATTCATACTCAGATGTCCTCAAGGACAAGCACAGTGGATAAAGGCGTTGGTTAGATCCAGTGACAGGACCCAAAGAGTGCGAGTTCAATACCTGGTTAAGGCAGTAGGGAAATTAACAGGCGATAACTGACATCCATCAAACATGGCACGTGGAACTAGAACAGTCTATATATTTATAAACTTAAGGAATCAGCACATATGCTAGGCCAGAAAAATCTTCCAAGCCGAGCAAACATAGAAATGGATACAATATGGAAACCAGCAATAAGGAGTGCCAGAGAAAAAGGGACAATAAAAACAAAAATTGCAATATGAACATTGGTAAAAAAAAGTGATTGCTGAAGACATTAGGTTTATAATAACCAGAAATTCATACACAGATGTCCTCAAGGACACATGTCACAATGGATAAAGATTTAGTTAGATCCAGTGACAGGACCCAAAGAGTGTGAGTTCAATACCTGGTTAAGGTGGTAGAGAACTTGGAGAGGGGAATTAACAGGAGATAGCTGATAACCGACATCCATTAGACATGGCACATGGAACTAGAACAGTCTACTCCAGTGAGCAAAATAAAGGGTTCAGTTCGACATTTCAGCCACCTGAAGAAGGCCAGAGCGTACAACAGCCGAAACGTTGTGATGAATATGGCGACAAAGATGAGGACAATAGTCCAAAAAAATGTAAATAGTGTACATAATACCTCATCTCAGAAATATAGACAGATACATAAAAAAAATTATATATATATATATATATATATATATATATATATATATATATATATATAAATTATTCAAGAATTATTTCATATTTACAAGATTAAAAATATGTGAACCTACTACAATGTAATGTTTTTTACTTAACATATAAAGAAATAACTATGAAAATAATTTTTTTTTAATTCCTAAATCTATAACAATGCCTGAACAAGAAAATTTAAATAAATGAGGACAAGTAATTAATAAAATTTTGAAAAAAAATAAAATATTCTGGGTGTTTCTTTTATTTGCTCTTAATAGGTTGCATTTATTTACATTTGTTAATTGTTTTACTTGAGAATTGACAATGAAAATGTTAAACACTATTAGTCCGTTTATTTACAAGAATAGTGTTTAATACTTTTGTTATAAAGTCTTGAGAAAAAAATGTAAAATAAAAATTTGCCAAGAGAGTATACAGTAATAGCAGTGTCGGGCATTTTGAGTCCTTTTGACATGTTCCCCCATTCCAAGTATGTTAAACGTTGCTGATTATTTCAATGTTTCAGAAATGTCCAAGGAGAATAGAATAGAATTATTTACCCTGCTCATAAATAAAATTATTCATAAATAAGTACTGAAAATTTGATTGAAATCTGATAATAGGTTTTTGTAAATTTGTAAAATCTGTGTTTTTCACTTGAAATCTTTTGCATGCATTACAGTATAAATAATTTGTCAAACATTTCTGATTTTATATTGTAGACAATGGTTATATGTAAAAAAAAAACAAACTCCACTCTAACAAAATGGTACAAAGATAATGATGATAAACTTTAATGTAAGTTTTGAACTTTTGTTTTTATCATATATCACTTTTTGTTAAAAAAAAAAAAAAAAAAAAAAAAAAAAAAAAAAGATGTATGTAGGTACCTATCAGTAACATCTTATGTAATGTGTTACTTTGTGTCAGTGAGAAATTATAAAATTTTCTGATAATTTCTTAATTTCGAAGATGACTTCTACAAGGAAACACTGAAATCTTTTCAGCCTGCAAGGGCCAAACATTTTTTAAGGTCTTATTTGGGTTGAGAACTTTTCAGCACCACATTACAAAAGTTACAAACAAAAGAGATAGCAACAACTTTTACATATTCTCTTACTTTAGGATCCTCTATCTTTACAGTCTTAACATTTCTAATGGTCAGAAAATGAATATATCTCACAAGTGTATTACCATAAAACAAAGATTAACTCACATGTAACTCATTGCTAGTTAGTGATTCTTTCATGATGTGGTCTTGTATCAAATAAAGCCAAGGTTAACATTTAAAAGCAATAGTAATTTAAGATGAGAAAGAATTTAGTCACTTCCATCCGGTTATATTAAATCCAATTCCTTTAAAACTAATCATACAATGATCATTTTAAAAAACATACTGGTAGCATAACTTATAGACACAGAAAGGAGGAATCAATTTCTGAGTTAAAATTCCAGCTTAGTTAAAATTGAGTTAATTTTGCACCAATGACCTTGGGAAAGGCAGGAATCTATTTCTTACTCGAGCGATAGAGGAAATAGCAGGGTAGACTAATCTCTTTAATAATCTTTTATAACTACCACCTTTTAAGATTGATATATGTGATTATTTGACAAAAAGAAGTTATAACCCAACACACTGTCAATGAATTTTGCTACTTAAGTTATTTAGTCTTGGAAAATTTAAATTGAGTTTTTACAAAGAAAAATGTCCAAATGATTTTAACATTAAATACAAAAACATTCAGAGGAAGTACAATTTGATGAACATAACATGAACAAATTGCTAAAATGCTAGTATTTAAAACTTTATAAATCACTTGTACAAATTTTCTACAGATGTCGAAGGCGAAAAAGAAAATAAAAAGAAGCAAAATGTATTTACCTGCAGTATCCTTTCAAAGTGGTAACGCTATATTAAAACAAGATCAGGAAATTATTTTCTCTCTCCCCTCTCCAAACCACCACTGAATCTGAGCCTTCTATAGGGTTAGGTAAACTTGATTAAATTACATGCTGAAAATGTACCTGCGCAGAATCATTGTTTTGGCTACTTGCCAACAATGACATCCAAGAAATAATTACCAATTCTCCCAAAAAGCCAGAGTTCTTGAGTTTTCAGATAAGCAGAGAAGAGGATTCTTCAAAAGGAAAGGACTTTATAAGAATATTAGATTCACTGTAAATGAAAGCAAAATTCCCTGGTTGGTTTACACATCTATTTCAAAACTGGAGACGAGAGAGAGAGAGAGGTTCAGATTGATAGTTTAGTTCACAGGCATTCAAAGATCAGAGCTGTAAATAATGCTATCACAGCTAGATTTACAACAAAATCAGCCAGATTTAAAAATAAAATCAACACCTGATACTTTCTTAGAGCA